CAGGATGTTGCTGATCAGTTCTTGCCTGAGGGCTGCTGCTCTATGAGTAGTGCCGGTGGGGACATAGATGTTGCAGACCTCAATGCAGTGTCCTCCCCAGCGAAGCAGGCAGCTCGTCAGCCGACCCTGTACACTCGGCTTATTAGGCTTGGTCTCCACGGTAGCTGTTAGGCCTTGTCGGACGAGGGTAAGGACGCCCCCCGTGTGGATGGAGTTAGACCACGAGCTGGCCACTACTCGCCAGCCCCGGCTGTGGGCTGTTGCAGCTGCCATGCTTAGCTCGCGTTCAAACAGGGATTGGTGGTGGGCATTGGTATGGTGGGTTTCCTGCAGGCAGATCACATCCAGCCCCATCTCTATCCACTGTTTGGCCGCTGCATGAATCTTGTCCTTGTGTTTGGCCAGCAGACCCTGCATGTTCTGTGTTGCAATACGAAGTGGCCGTCCCTGCATTGCGCCGTGTTGGCGCTTGATTGTGGTCGTCGCTTCCATCAACAGAGTTGGGTGGGGGTGGCAGTGGGCTGGTCTTTAAAACCAGGTTGGGAGGCGGTGGGGAGGTGTAATATTAGGCTCTGGGATGGGGAGCCCATCGATTCCGCCTCCATAATCGTGTCGTCCCCCTCCACAGCAGCAGTCCCCAGCTCCCTCCCCGAGGCCTGGGTCCCCTGGGTGGCTTCGGCATCTTTCGCCTTCTGCTTTCGGGTAGACCGGATAAGTTCGCTGCGTCTCTCCGCTGCCGACGTTTTTTGGATCAGCCGCTTCTGGTCCTTAGCTCGCTGGGCCAGTTCTGCGGATTGTTTGCGGGCTGCTCGGGCTGCAGCTGTTTGCGCCAGAAAGAACGTGCGCCTGGCTTCCCCCGTCAGGTCTGGCCTGCGGATTTTCTTTATTCCTTCGGACTGGCGGGGCTTGCATGCTTTCCCCTTGTGGAGGTCCGGTGCCGCTGAGGGTGGGGTTAGGTCCAGTGCTACTGCTTCTGGTGCCCCCGGCAGTGCTGCTGCCGCCGGCGCTCCTTCCACGGCCGTGGCCGTGGGTGCGGATGAAGTCCCATTGGGGTTCACTGTGGGGGGTGGGGTTGGGTCCAGTGCCGCTGCTTCTGGTGCCCCCGGCAGTGCTGCTGCCGCCGGCGCTCCTTCCACGGCCATGGCCGTGGGTGTGGATGAAATCCCATTGGGGTTCGCTGCGGGGGATGTTGATGCTGCTGCTGGATCCCCCGGTTGTTGTGTGGCCATTGGTGTATTCCCCCCCATTGGAGCAGGAACATCTGTGGGGGCGTCCTCCTCTCCCCTCAGCTCCGCCAGCACCAAAAAGGGGTTGGTCTCTGCTGGTGCAGCCTTTGCAGCCGTCGCCGGGGTCTTCCTCCCCTTCCTGCCCATCACTGTCCAGCTCGTCTCAGCATCACCTTCACTACTGCCCTGGGGTGGGATAGAGGGGCCACTGCCGCTGTTGTCCCCCTTGCCCCCCCTCACTCCATTCAGCCCGCTGCCATCATCCACCGTCCTTCTGGGCTTGGGGCCGCTGGGGGGTCCCAGAGGGTTAACTCCTGCAGGCCCCCCCTCTGCTGCACCAGAGCAGTGACCCCTGTCTCTCTGGATGGCATCGAATTCCATCGGGCTCAAGAATCTGGTTAATCTCCCCTGTACTCCCGTCACCTGCCCACTGTGGCCTGGGCGGGTGCTTGTTGCCGCCCCGTCTCCCCTTTGCTGCTGGGCGAGTGCTGCTCGCGGGGGTGGCTGGGGCATCAGGAAAGGTTCCCCTTCCGGGGGGGTCTTCCTGATCGCTTGAAGGGTGCCCTTCTGGTGGCACGCCTCCGATGGCTCCCCGTATTCAAAGGGGAGTTCTCGCGGAAGGCCGCGATTGCTGGTAAGCTCCAGCCTCCACGTGTCGGCCATTGTCGTGGGGGCCAGGAGCGAGAACTCCGTGACGTCCTGGGGACTGGGGTCTGCCCGGTATGCCCGGGTGAGGAAGTCGGCCGTGCCCTGACAGCTGAGGCCGACCGGGACGCCTCTCACCTCCCACACAATGGGCTTAGCCTGTTGCTGGTTCTTCACCAGCAGCTCCACTTCCATCGGCTCCATGTTCGAGGTCAATTGCACCCCAGGCACGCGCAATCGCCCGTTAACGATGCGCCTGGCCGCTGTCAACGCTGCTAAACCTCCTTTTGGCACAAGGATGGAGAGTTCCATCACAATGTACCGTTCCCTTCCCATCGGATAAAGCAACCGTTTTTGAATGCGCGGGCCTCCCCAACGGTTGAACTCCTGGTTGCTGCGGAAGATTTGGCCAATTGTTGCCAGAATTTGAATTCCTAATGGACCGTATATTTGAGCGATGATGTCGCCCGTATCTGAGCCCGCTGGCCACCGGACTGTCACCACGATCGGTTCCAGTTCTAGTGTGGCTCTGTAGATAGCCAAGCCTTCATTTGTTCCGTAAAAGCCACTGACGGCCTTTATCTTTTTGGTCGGTATGGATTGCGGTCTCGCGGCTGAGGTCGGCTGGCGGCCATTTTGAACATTGCCGCGGCTAACAGCCACTGCTGGTCGCCTCTGCGACATTTTCAGGCTAATTAGATAACCATAACTACGCTCATACAATTGAGGTCGCTGTCGGTGGCCACGGCCGCGGTTGGCCGACGGTCATAGTAGCAGCTTAGTCAAGCTTGGTCTCATCCATACATGTATGTATGTATGTATGTATGTATGTATGTATGTATGTATGTATGTATGTATGTATGTATGTATGTATGTATGTATGTATGTATGTATGTATGTATGTATGTATGTATGTATGTATGTATGTATGTATGTATGTATGTATGTATGTATGTATGTATGTATGTATGTATGTATGTATGTATGTATGTATGTATGTATGTATGTATGTATGTATGTATGTATGTATGTATGTATGTATGTATGTATGTATGTATGTATGTATGTATGTATGTATGTATGTATGTATGTATGTATGTATGTATGTATGTATGTATGTATGACTTAGATTACACTGTGGGCCGCGAGAGCCGGGGNCCGAAGCCGAAACACAGCACAAGGGTCGGGAGCACACAGCACAAGTCAGTTAGTCTTGTGTGCTCCCGACCCCGACTCAGACTGCCAACATTATTCGTATTAACATTATTCGTATTCGTTGGGTTCAGCAACTCACCACCAGCATCCAACCAAAACTAGCGGATCACCGGCGCCACAACTTTGTTCCTGATCAGCTCACAAGTTGATATTAACACGTCCTACACCGTCCACCAAATGGGGGCCCACCTCCCATATCATCACCTCTCAAACACCCGAGATGTCGGCAGGCGGATATGAACCCGGACACTCCGGGAGCAGAAGTCAGACCTTAATCTCTGCCAGCCGCCTGCCTGCCTGCCTGTGTATGTATGTGCGAAGTACGGAGTACATACCTGCTGTGTGTTTGAACTTGACGGAGCTGATAGATTCATCCAGTCGGCGTGCTCTTGGATATTTTTAGCCAGGTGGCGTCGACGTTTAGTGGGTTGGTTGGCTGCTTGGCTCACAGTTGAGTATACATGCAGATGTTCTAGTGTGGACCCTGCCCGCCGCTTTGCATATCCAACCCATCTTGCTTATCGCTCCCTTCATTAAGCTATAATTGCCTAAGTAACTCCCCTTTGCCACCCATAGGTCTGGAGGGAACGGGCATCTATGTGCAGATCATTATCCACATCATCCTAGACCTGGGCCCCTTCCTGCTCATTGTGGTGATTACGCTGGCCACGTACACATTCGCATTCCGGCAGTTCATCATATACTACGAGCAGCAGGTAACTCATCAGGTGGGTGTCGCATCTGTATTCACCTGCTGTACATACCTGCCGTCGTATCTGACACATACAACTAACTGAGAGTGAGTGTATATGCAGCATCACCTTCCTTTAACTCAAATGCTAGCCCATACCCCGCCTGGCTACTGACGCAGCTAGGAAAGCAGTCACATGCATAGCATGGAAATAATACCTGCTGCCTAGAAACGTGGCACCCTTGAAGGGTAACTACCCCTATAGGGGAAAGCTACGGTGCCCTACTGTGATGCATCACACCACTTTGGTTAGCTATCCCAGGTTACGCAGGTGTGTGGCTGCTAGATGTATAATTTTGTGAAACAGGGGGTATAGCTTCACTAGCCTGGCAGTCCCTCCTCCGACTTCTGAGGAGTCAGTGGCTATTGGGGGTTTAGCAGTGTTTTTTTTTCGTGGAGGCCGATCCTGAATCTGTTACGAGTTCCGTAATAAATATGCCATCAGTCCAATACGTTTATTACTGCCAGAATTTTTTTTCTGGGGGGGCAAGCCCCCCCAGACCCCCCCTGCCCACACAGGGTACCTGATACACCAGCACATATCTAATGTCTCTCTTGTACTCGCTATATTGTTTGAAGTGTTACCAGCATCTCCGCTACTGGGTTTTGGCCTGCCGGTGGTCAGGAATGCTTTGACGCTACCCTGACCAGCTATAGTAGTTAATTTCTTGGGCCCCATCGCTCATTTATAACTTATTTATACTAAAAGAGAACGTCTCTGGGGGCCTTCGGCCCGCCCCGGCTCCGTAACGACTGTACCAGGCCTTTACCATGGTCTATGACGGAGCGCAGAACGCAAATATGCCATTTTATTACGGAACCGTAATATATTACGGAAAAAAAATACACTGGGGTTTAGCTCTCACCATGTGGTGCACTAGTGTGTAGTATGCTTCAGACAACACAGCCATGAAATGGTGGTATCGAAAGATACCGATTGTGGCAAATGGATGTATTATAATCTTCAGCAGAGTCCACCTGGGCCCATCGCCAGCATATCCGCGAATGTTCCCAGTCTGACTGGGTGGCGTAGATAGAACCGAAATCCGCAGACGGACATGCCCCCAACCGATAATCATGATCAGACAGTAACAGGGACACAGATCCCAGCTTTACTCAGGTAAAGCCCCGCCCATACTCAGGTTGTTGTATCACGTCTTATCGCAGGAAAAGAACCGATCGGCGGATGCTACATCCCGTGATACCCAGGATACTACACAGGTATGGACTTCTGCAGCGGTGCGGCATTGGATGGCGGACGACTATCAGTAGTCGCTTTAGCCGCCGCAGCTAACAGTAGCCGCCAGTAAACTAATATCAGTATTAGTTAGACCTGTAATCACTGACAGCGGAAATATACAGGTGTTGGCAAATCAGACTGGATGAGCTAACCACCGACAGTTGGGCAATGGAGCCACAGGCTGTACAAGAAGCTTACAGGATACAACATAGTGCACTAGCATGAAATTTGCCAACTCAACAGCGGTGCCAATTCAAGTCCTGGTCGGCTCACAGGTTGTCACTATGACTGGTCGGTCACGCATAGGGGTGCTTCCACCCTCTTACGGTCGGGATTGATCCTGGAGCCTTTCAGGGGCTCTTATGTCGCGCCTAAAAACCTTTGCTGTGTCTAAGCCCTACTTTGATCACTGCAAAGCAGTGTCCGCCATCAGATATGCACCTAACTCGCGACCATGGCATCATGGCTGCTGCTGATACATAAACACTTTCAGGTTCGTACCAACACACACATGCAGCATCACATTTGCCCTTCTGCACTCTACGGTCTATCACACCATGTATGTGGGCCCCGCCCCGCCCTCTCCTGTCCAAATCACACACACTGAGATTCATCTCACCACCCGTGTAAGAAGGGATCAGCTCCCCTTGGCATCTCCCGTGAGCACTTTGTCTGATCTTATAGTCCATCTGCCCCGTTTGTGGTCAGGTGGTCAACGATGGTGGCGGCAACATTTCCAACAAGTACACCAAGTTATTTAATGGCTTCCCCAACAGCTTCCTATCGGTCTACTACTTCATGGTATGAAAGAGGATAGGAGGAATGTATGTACGTGAAGTATGTAAGGGAGAGGGTGCAGGAAACAAGCCTGGGATAAAATGCAATACCCAACCCAGGATACGCTAAGGGGATCCGCTTTCTGTTGATTCCACTCAGTGGTAGCTCCAGTGTTGACTGTTCCAAGGTGTCGTCTAGTTCATTCCACTCCCTCTGTTGGAGTTCTTCCATGCTCTTCAACACTTCGAAGGCTTTAATATACTGGTTGAGCAGATCCAGAACAACAGGGTCCAATGTTGACTCTTCACATGGCAACTGAACTGTCACCACTGCAGCCTCCATCTGTGATATCTCGAATTGTGGCTTAACTGCCGCCACCGCAGCCTCCACCTGCGGTATCTCGAATTGCGGCTTAACCGCCGCCCTGCAGTCTCCACCTGCGGTATCTCGAATTGCGGCTTAACCGCCGCCACCACAGCCTCCACCTGCGGTATCTCGAATTGCGGCTTAACCACCGCCACCACAGTCTCCACCTGCGGTATCTCGAATTGGGGCTTAACCGCCGCCACCGCAGCAGGGTTCGACACTGACCTTCCTGAAACTTGCGGGCTCCCCGTACCTCCCAAATTTTCCTTACGGAGGGGGCCCTGTACCAGGCTCCTGTACCGGCCGAAAACCTTAGGGGGGTCCCTGTAACCCCCCAAAACCTTTACGGGGGCACTGTCCTTGGCTGAAACGCTGTGGAAAGTGATGCTTTGCATTTTCTTGCCCTGTAAATCGTTATTTTCGTTATTTTCTTGTGAACCATTACACTCAGTGAAAGCCAAGCGCCTTGGCCGCCTTGGCCGCCCATCCCTTCTGCTCCTCAACATGATCTTCATCCGATACGTCCGTACTGCTATCTGACATAATACTAAAGAATGGGCTTTCACGGATTCGAACAAGCTGGGCGGCAAGGATGACTTTGCTCAGAACACGCATAGCTGTGACGAAATAGCGGTACTGGTTGTACTTGAAGTGGATGCCCGGAAGCCCAGCCGCTGTTAGCATGGGAAGCATGCTCGGCAGCTTAAGCATGGGCATATGTACCGTACGGCCTCTTATAAATCCTTAAAATCCTTACGGGGGCACCCATAACCGGCCTTCGGCCGGTCTGGGGGCGGCCCCGTACGGGGGCGCTTCATGCCGCAAAATCCTTACGGGGGCCACTGTAAAGTCCTATGGGCCCTTACGGGGATACCAAAAAAAGGCCAAAAACTTACGGGCCCCGTACGGGGTGTCGAACCCTGCACCGCAGCCTCCACTTGCAGTACCTCCCATTCCCATGGCTCTCGCTCCAAATCGTCAAATGGCAGATCTCCAGTTGATTCCCAGGTCTCGACCTCACCGTTCACCTGCAATTTGGAGTCCTCTGTAGCAGTCGATACCGGCGCCTCCATGTGCGGCTCGACTCGCTCCGCCATGACCTGATCCCGTGGCAGGACCAAAAAGATCAGGCCATCCCTCGGGAAGTCTTCATCGTCTTCCTTGCGCTCCAATTTCTTGGGTGCACTCCAGCACTGAGCAAGTGAATGGCCTGTCTTCTTGCAGTGGGTACAGAAAGGCTTGTCCGTTGATGTCTTCTGCTGCTTGCATTCCGATTTGCGGTGTCCTCTCTCCCCGCAGTTTTAGCAGCGACCCTTGAAGACGCCATCACCGTCGATCTTGCTGGTACTTGCGACATTGTTGCGTCTGTTGCCGCGGTGAGCGTTAGTACGCCCCGTTGTAGACGTCTCTAATTGTTGCTCAACCAGCAGAAGCTTGGAATCGAAATCGGAGAGGTTAGATGGCATTCCACTGACGAAAAAGGCGTTGGTGTAAGGCCTGTAAGTCGATCGCAGCTCCTTTAACACCTGGCTGACAGCGTTCGCATCCGAAACCGTCTCCCACACTGCTTAAGTTCCTTGACCATCTCCTTCAAACGACTGATGAAGCTCCTTAAGCTCTCCTCAGGCCTCATTTGAATGCCTTGGAGTTCTCCCCAGAGGATCGGTTGCCGAACCGCCATCATCTTCTTGTATCGCGCATCTCAAGCCGCATAAAGATTGATGACATCTTCATTTTCGGCGAAGAGGTCGAGGTCGTCGTCGTTAAGGAGGTTAACGAGGACGGCGCGCGCCAAGTCGTGCTCGGCGCCATTTCTATCATCGCGCGCCTTCAGCAGAGCCGCTCCTGCCTTCGCGGCCGTGATTGCGGCCTTCGTTTTAATCAATCACACTGTCCGGTTTTTCAGTGTCAGCCGTTCGCTGTACACCAGCCGCGTAGTGTTTGCTTCCATCCCGTCACCTATGTGCGGGGCTCATAACCTGTTGTAATCCTGAGCTGCTAACCCTAATGCGTACTGCTTCTGAGTCGTTTACTCGAGCGTCTCTCGCATATACCGTTACACAGCTCTGGAATTCTTCTTCTGTCACACACATATATATAAAAGGTGTCGTACAGATTCTAGTCGTAACAACAAGATACAGAGTTAACTAGGTCTGACCGAATAAACATTAACTACTCGAATGTTCACAACACTCCAGAACCACCCGAAGGCATCGGATTGGATTAACCAATACGGTGAATCCACATATTCTCGACCCGATCGCCTGACGCTGGAAGCGATTATCGAAGCCTTTAACGAGCGCTTCGTAGACTTGGTACGTTCTAGACCCTTAGGAAAATCGCAGATGCTTTTGGACGGCAAGATTAGAATGGACGCCCAGAAAGGTGTACCCGAATATGCCGCTAGGTTTCGTGAAGCGATTACGATTGCTAGAATGACCGACACTCCGACCATTCTGACACTTTTTCGACGCGGACTGATTTTGCCTTTGGTCGCTCCTTGCCGAGTAAATTTCAAAGGTGCAGAATTTGAGAACTTGAATGAATTAATAGAACATGCGATTGGAGAAGAAAAGAAATTGAGGGAAACTTCAAAGCGCCCTTCACTTAATTATTCTTATGCCGACCGTACCCCTCGCCCGAAACAGACTCAGAAACGGCCTCATGGGTCGAGGTCACAAAGAAATCCCGACCACAATATCGGGTTAACGACGGTGCCGGCCCGTCTACGGCTGGACCGCCCCAGAACCGCGGGGACAGACTCAACGACGGGGCTGGGCCTTCGAACGCCAGACCGCCGTCGCAGCCGCAGCGACCGGTGCCCCCGACACAGACCGCCGGTACCTTCGAGTGCCGCGGAGAACTCCACAAAGAAACGCAAGAACGACCTCTCAGCGACCGAATGGGCCATTTATAAGCGATACGGCCTTTGTACGAAGTGTGGTCGCCAGGAACTGACGTGTTGCCCAGCTGCCGAGTGACCAGCAGGCTGGGGCTTGCCGAGTAGAAGACGATGATTTGAGACTCGAAGCGCGCGTAGACCCTTTAGAGACTTTCACGCAACCGAAACCTGGAAACCTGTCTTGGCATCGGTGTGTGTGCAGATTGAGCGCGAGTTGAGACCTTTAGAACATCCGCTTGCATTACGTGCGCATGATCATCCTCGTGATAGACTACCTTCGTCGATTACGTGAAGTATATGTGATATGTGTCCACGAATGCGAATTGATCCGACAATCTTTGCGACAATAGAATCCCGTATTGGGAGGACGATTACGTTTGACGCTTGTGCAGGTGACGATGGCAATACTGCCGTATGTAAATCTTTTGGATCAGAATCGCGTCAATTTCTGTCGCTTGATTGCTCCGGCCACACCTTATGGCTTAATCCGCCAGTTAGAAAGCTTTACGCTTATCTGAGACACTATCGACGTTGCAAAGAACATGATCCTAGTATGGCAGCTTGTACTTTAGTGCCTGAAACGCCAGGGAAGTTGCGCACTTTCCTAGACGGCATGACGTTGATTCAGACTTTTCCGAAAGGCACTCGACTGTACACAGCTTCCTACCCAGGATGTCCAGAACCTCCTCGACTGACAGAACCTTTGCAACTATGGTATGATTCCCCTTCTCCAGAACAGCGATTGAATCCTAGTTGCTGCTTGACAGAGAAAGATGCGTATTTAGACCTGTTCTCAGGGAAACTCAGTGAGACATCAGTACGCATCCTTCCCGATACAGGCGCAACGCACTGTTTCATCGCTAAGGCTTTGGCAGACCGTCTTGGATTAGCCTTAGAACCTTCGCCATGCGCACCGGTACGGCTTGCTGATGCATCGTACGCGTCCGTCGCTGGTGAATGTAAAACTCTGTAGCAACGTCCAGCTAGTCATAGAAAACTGAGTCTGACGGCTTTGGTTGCGTATCGTTCCGGGCATAGCAGGAGGTCGAATATTGCCATATCGTTAATTAAAAACTATAAACGCGTTGAGAATGGTCATGTACATACGGCGCACCGCGTAAAGACTGACGATGTATGTTTCGACCGGGCGACGTAAAAACAGGCGATTTGTGTCTGACGATCTAGCTCCGGTCTGAGAAATGTTCTATGAAAAATATCCTGTACTAGTTTCTTCTCAGTTTCCTTTGGCCGCCATGAACCTGGCCAGGAGCTGCATAAACGGGTAGCTACCGTTGCGTAATGAGCAGTTGCTGCGCGAAAAGGGTAGCTACGTCTTACGTTGACCATACGACAGTTGTACGAATGGCGGGCGCGTTTACCATATATAAGGCGCGGCCTGACCAATGTTTTCTGAGGGATACTCCAATCATACAACTCCCGAGCACGGTAGCAGGACGCACCGGCCAAGGCAGTTTGTAACGGATATCGCCTTCACTTGGCGTGGATGACTCCCACCCATTTTATCTTGTCAACAGCCAACCAGGTTCCAACATGACATTGGGCCTAGTGGCCAAGAAGCAGTAAAACTCGGCTCACATCAGGCTCACAACCACACCTGGGCCTACGGTCTCAGGACAAAACTCTGATTCTGCTTCCGCTCGCGCACGCAAATCTCGATCCTATCTCGCTTAAGACAATCCACTGGTATCGATTCCTTTCTCTAAACGATCCTGGGCGCCCCGGTGTGTCCATCCAGCGGTTCCCCCAAACGCGAAAATTTTTGGGCTGCCGCTGGGTGCCGCCCGCCGCGGCGCGGCTGGTATCGAGACTAGGGTTTCAGCCCTGTCTCTAGCTACTTTCAAACAGTCTGCTAGGCGTCCCACTGGTTGTACGTCTCGTACGCCATGGAGAGCCAACATCAATCTCACTTTATCACACACCCCCATCCCTCGAGCGTCTCGTCTGTGCCTATCTTCCGGCTGGGAGACAGTGCTCGGCAATGGGTCGCCAGGGTTGAGAGATGTGGTCGGATGTACGGCTGGAGTGAAGAGGCTCAGCTGGACGTCGCCATCTGCCGCCTAGGAGATGAGGCCATCTGCTGGCAAGCCGGCATGGAAGCGTCTCTCCCCGATTGGCCTAGCTTTAAAGCCGCGTTTCTGGAACGATTCGATCCGACCCAAGAAGAGTTGTTTAGCCGACTAGCTCATTGTCGGCAAGAACGGGGCGAAGCTGTACGGACGTACGCTGACCGCTACCGCGACCTAGCTGCACAACTGGGTGTGGACACGCAACACGACCCCATCCACATGCATAACTTCTTACAAGGACTACAACTCAAGGTTTACAACAAGGTTTTCTTCATGCGACCATCTAGCTTTGAAGACGCTGTACGATGCGCCATCTATATCAACGAGGGCTTGGACCGCCAGGATGTGGCTGGCCACTACGAACCGTTTCCCCCTCAGCGCACACGTGATATGGATTTCCACAGCCATCCTTCTCGGGCTACCCCGCGCTGGGAAAACCGTCACGGCGACCTTCGTGGTAATGTGCCTGATTCCCCGACCCCTAGCGGCTCACGACCGGATGGTCCCCGAACTCCAGTGGCTACACAACGTCCCATGGGACCACGGCAACCAGAGCAGAAGCCCGCTGGGAATGCTCCCTGGCAGAGTCGCCCAAAACCTAAGGTTTCGACACCCCCAGAGAATGAACCCCTGGAGTCACGAGTTGACGAAATCGCTCGCCAGTTGTCACGATTAACCCTGTTGCTGGAGCGCAACCCTAATGTACAATTGTGGGAAAGGGATAACACTCACCATGAAGACCCACATTTGTCTCAGATGGAGCATCCGGACATCTACTCTTGTTTCCGGCCGGCTACCCCACCAGCCGCCTATGTCAAACGTGTGGCCAATTTCGAGCCTATACCGCTTCCCCGCAAGCGTCCAACGGCTACCCCTAGCCAGGATGCGCCTCGGCCTGCTACTACCGGGCGTATAGGCATTGTACGACCTGTGGTGACACCGTTGGCTTCCCCGAATGCCCCGGCTACGGCTACCCAGGCACATCAGCCACAGGAGCCAGCAGCTCCGGGTGCGCCACCTCCAGGGTGTACTGCCGCAACCGGAGGTACCGTCCCTGCTCAGCGAGGCATTGCCAGCGCTGAACCTCGTCTCCGTCGACGAGTAGCTGAGTCTGGCAGCCGCACCGATCCGATTCCTGCGGACCCACAAGAAGAAGAACGGCGTATTGCTGAGGACATCATTCATAAGGTCAACAAGTATGCACTACCATTGAGTACAACTCTACGATGCAACCCTATCAGCATCTACACGAAGGTTGGCAGCCGAGTTCTTGGATTGGCTCGTCAGCACACCAGCGCTGGCAACCCCCAGCCTGGGCCCATGTTTGGTCCAGCAAGGCCTACGGCAGGCACCATGCAAGCTTCTCTTTCAGAGCGACCATCTTCAACAATACCCGCCTGGAAGTCTGATGCCGTCGTACCACCCTGGCAGGTTTGCAAAGCTACCGTATGGATAATTGATGGACATGGAGGACAAG